TTTGTCAAAATTTGGTACGGATGAGTTTTTTGCCAATTTACTTTTATGGATCAATTTTGACCATGAAATACCGAAAATTAGAACGTTTTCCCGTACAAGGATTTAGTCTTCTTAAAAACGATTTTATAAGAGGTGGTTCAAAAAATTGCTCGAGCCAATCGAAACTTTAGAGTATCAAAGTTTTATTACTCAGAGATTTACGTCGAAAAATCTTGAAAATTGTAATTTTTTTTAAAGTAAGGCGTTATATGGGGAATGGTCGAATAAGTGGACCTATCCGAACCAGTTTCAATAGCGTTCATCCTTGGTTCAAAACATGTCAGTGTATCAAATGTCATCAAATTTCTTCAATATTGCGACACGCAGCTTGAACACAAAAATTTAGAGACAAACATCAGACGGCCACGCAAGCTTACATTATTCAGAATCGTTCGGTAAAATATAAAGTAGATGTATCTAAAAACCTTTTGAGTGTTATACATAGATCCGCAAAAACTTAATATACCCTATAACGCAAGTTATATAGAGTATAAAAAGTAAAATAATATAAAAAGACCATAACATCTGTTTAAACCGGCTTCAATTAATTCACATCGGCTCTGTTGTCGCTTTTATTAAAAACTATGCATTAAGCCAAGAGGGAAAAATAAGGCCTAGGACTGAACAACAGAATTTGTTAAATGCCACCACATGCTATGTCTTGTATCTCTCTCTATCTTAATTTCGATATTTCAGAAGACGAACTTGAATATAAACAAAAAAATTGGAGAAAGAGAAAGCGGAAAGAGAGATCACTAGTGCGTTTTACTCTCTTTGAAATATTACTTTTGAATAATTCTCGATGTACATTAAATTTTGTATTAGATTCATTGTGAGCGCTTTTACCAATATTTTCAAGTTTGGTTTGCCTCATAGAGTAAAATGTTTAGAGGAAAAGCTCAATATTTCCATCACAATATTTCGTATGCTCTTCAGTTATTTTATGTTAATATTTCTCTTTGAATATGTGCTTTAGGATAAACAGTCTGTATCTATTTGTAAATATCATACTTTTCGTAGGGTACGTGAATAGCGAAATTGATTTGATCATTTCTTTCACTTCAGTTTTGCGAGCGACTTATCTTCTAATGCTTGGTCTCAAATTAATCGTGTTTTCTGCATTTCGGAGAATTTTCAAGATAATCGATATTCCGCTTAGAAATGCTTTTACATAATCGTTTCAATTTCAACTTCAATCTCTTTTTATGCGAATACTCCCACAATTAAATTATAAGCCAGAGATCACAGCCAATATATATAAATTATATATGGATTTGATTGGATCCTATACTTTCCAAGAGCGCTGCGTACAACGTATGATTTCTGAACGACTGAGATCGTTACGGAAAAAATGACATTTGTTCCTCTGACAATCTGTTATCTTGTGTTATTACGATTTATTTCGATTTCCTTATGCTTCATGCTTTTTACGTATTTTATAGTTGTAAATATTAAACGATTTCTTAATTATAAAGACAAACCCATATGTTAGTAGTACCTTCGAGATCAAATTTGGAGAGTTGTGTTTGCTTAAAAATTTTGTCTCCATTTTCGAAGCGCACTCAAAAGCAAGCAACTGGGGGCCGTTACGTGATTTCTAAAATTAAGATTGTGAACTCTCATGTAACTGTTCCTATGGAAACTAAATCTTTATATGATAAAAAAATCAATTTTCCAATATTTCATGCAGAAAATTGGCTCAAAAAGTAAATTGACAAAGAAATGTATCTTACCGAACTTGGACGACGTCGGTCTATTTTTTGGATGCCATCGTAAATTCTCACGAAACATAAACCGTTCAATGCCAAAAAGGACTAACTGTTAATTTTTTCGTGATGAAAATTTGTCCATGACATAAAAATTGGGCCTAATTTGAACGACCTGGATAGGCCTATTTCTTGACCCCACTCCATATAGGATATCTCATGAGTGGTAAACACTTCGGAAAAAGGTTTAGTTTTTAATATTTTATGGGGAAAACTAATTCAGAACAGCGTTTGATCTATTTTTTTTTTGGACCCCAACATATATAGACGCTATCACGAAACGCAAACTTTTAAGGGGAAATTGAGAGAAAATCTAACCTTCCAATAGGCTTTGCATGAAAATAATATGTATTTTTTGGTGTATTATTACCAAAACAAGCGAAAACTGCACTAGGCGAAGTAGCCTAGTGTGGTACGTGATAGTCACCGTTGCCTATAATATTCTTACTTGTTTTACTAACGGGTTTTCCTCAAAACCCCATTAAGACCAGAAATTGGTAAAAAACGGGACTAATAACTCAAAACTCAATGCTAACTAATAATTTAGCGGATGTAAATGCAACAGCATTGGTTTTCCTCGCGATTCAAAATGACGGATATGCTAAGGTATTTGAATTTTGAAGTCAATCGCTTTTCATTTAATTTTATATAGCTTTAATATATTAATAATAATTAATTGAAAAATTATATTTGTGTCACCACGAATGTTATGACGTGCAAATTCGGGCATCCCTCATTTCGCCGCCCACAAATTAACCGTCACATGAATTATGTGATTTATCTTTAATTATTATCATTTAATTTAATTATTATGTTAGTATTATGAACAAATATAACGATATCGTTATTTTGTCTACGGGCAACTTAAATATACACATATGTATTCACAGTTATTTCACATACTAATATATTATCCCTAGTTACAAGACGTATATTATATAAATATACACAAATTTTACATAAACTGTTAAGATCATCCATTCACCATAAGTTTGCATAACACTCATATAAACATATGCATGCTTAAACTGTGTACTCATCTACTTATCATTTCACCATCTTCACGGTTTACATGAGAATCGTTTGTATTTGCAATAATAAACATTTGTTTCTAATCCACAGATAGCCGTGCAATTTGCAAAGGGACAAAACGGTATCCTTCTGTAGATGGTTGCCGAATCAATAGGAAACCAACCATTTCTATAGGAATGGAAAATGGATGACTTTAAAATGAATTTATTAGTAAAAAATGTTGTCACTAATATTCAAGAATCATTATGAGACATTTAAGTTTATGCTATTATTTTTACCCACGCTGGGTAAAATAGTACCTGGTAATAAGTTCCTGTGTTATTACTAAATAATGTGCCAGCCAGTAAACCTAGCTGACATAGTAAAAATTGCACGGCAAATCAGCCATAAGGAGAGACGATCATCGGCCTTACAGCGGTAAGGTCCTAGCCAGCCACAACTTGGGATCTACCTTTGCCTTTGAAATTGGGAAATAAAAGAGGGCTTTAGCCGTGCACTCACCGTCGGCCGCACTTTAAGAGTCAAAGATTAGGACGAGCAGGAGTTTTAATCGGCAAAGCGGCCAGCAAAAGGAGGGCAACAAATTTTCTGACAAAATGAAACCTGGCGCCTCTGAGCTGACTCGCACATTAAGAGATAGAAAAACACCGTGCTATAATGTTACGGCATTGATTGTCTACATATATATACAAAATATTTCTAGTCACATTTGAGTTATCACAACTAATCTTGATAGAAATTGATTGCTAATTTTTACACCTCACAGAAATTTTTCATATCCGTCAATGTGTTAATCGAAAATTTTCTTTAATGTAGTGTTTTCAACAAACGTAACTGTGAGCTTAGCTTCCGAGGAACATACTTTGGTACAGCCAAAGCCTTGAATTTTATTTTCATAAATTTTATTTTAGTAGAATTTCTCAAGAGAATTTCCCGATTTTTCAACAAAATGAAAAACATATTACTTTTGCAAATTGGTCTTTATTCGTCAAAGTAACCACCGTCAAAAGTAACGCAATTAGTGCTCTTACTTCTCTAAAGTTTCGATGGCTTTGTAGAACAATCCCCCAAAACTCGAAAGAATTTTGCAAGGAAACAAAGATCGCTGAAGGCCAGATCTAGAGAATGCGGTCGGTGGAGCAGCAATTCAAACTTTGATTCGTGGAATTTTGTAACTATCAATTTACGGCACGATGCATTTGTACCACTAAGAGCAACGACAATACCAATTACTTGTGCGGAATAAGTATACTCTTTTCTGATTTCTTTAGCACATCAGCTATCTCTTGCAACTTCAGTTTTCGCTTATCGAAAATAATTGTATGGATTTTTTGATTCTGCCCGGTGCATCCGCTGAATATAGCATCATCCTGCGACATCGTTTAAAATCAAAAAAATCTTCGACAAATTGTATTCAAGCCAACGCTAGCTTTTTCTCGTGAAAATCTTTAATCAGCAACCAATATATGGATTTCTCCATATTGGGATTTCTCCGAAAATTATTTTAGCTGCAATTTGGTGATAGGCATGACACAAAGTTTTAATGAGCATTTGGGGTTTTGACACTTCCTAAAAATAATAGGAATTTTTCGTTGGAGGCGAAATCTATATGCTAGTCTTCGAACTTATTGACCAGCATGCTAATTTAAAGTAAGAATGAAATTTATGTTTTTACACAACAGCTGCTTCAACCCAAACCGATCTCGGACTGGTTAACTGCCTAAAGCCTATCAACCTTGATTCCTTTTATTTGTATCAGTCCTCTGTGCTACAGTTTTTTCAATAACGATGATAATAGCAATACCAACTAAGAGAGAAGAAAAAAATGCAAGCTGACTAAAGACATAGGTATTGCCAGTGAGCGGTAACTACAGCATAGGTTTTTGCACAGTTATAACAATAAAAATAAGTAAACAAATGATGTCATAATAAATAATAAATTACTATTTACAAAATTGGCTTTATTAAAACCTTTTAATTCGCTTGACAAAACTTTTCTACAGAAACTATCAATTGCAGATGATTAAAAAGGGTGGCATCCGCCTGGGTAGTCGAAGGCGAGGAATCTCAACTAGCAACTCAATGGTCGTGGGTTCGAATCTCAAGTGCGGTAGAGTTTTTAATAAAAGCCGATAGCCTTAGATGTTAGTGCTTTAAAAGGTTAGTCTTACAATTTATTTCTCTGGCGAAATTAATAATACTAATAATAATAATAAAGGGGGTGGAAGCAAAGCACAGGATTTCTCAAAATTCGTCAGCAGTGGGAAGGAAGCGGTCTTAAACATGCTAGCCGTTCTTCAAAAAAAAAAAAGTCGAAGCAATATAAAGGAAGTTGCAGAGAGTCGACAACGCACTCAGGAATTGTATATGTCGCTGTCACCTACTCTCACGAAAGATTTGCATATTCATGCTTACAAAGTTCAGTTCACTCAAAAATTAAAGCCTATTGACAATAGGCATAGGAATTAGGATTTGTTGGTTACGGACAATCCAGCGGGTGCTGACATTTCGAACAAAGTTCCCTGTATACTGCATATATTAAGAAACAATAAAAAGTATGTAATTCTTAAATATAAACCTGAGTTTTCTATCAAAATTACTTCTTGCGAGGATTTTGGTACATCCTTTATAATAGTGGTGTTGCAGTTTAGCATAACCATGCGAGTATCGAATACCATAGAATAATATAAAACCAAAGGCAAACGAAGCCAATTCTTATATCTACATTATAGAAAATACTTTGTGTTTAAAAGCTGATACGAAGAAATTCGAGCGCTCATGATTCATATTAAGCCGACACAGTGTGGTGACCAAATTGTGCTAAACGAACGATGTAGAAAACGTTTGAATTGGTAAATGGAATAAAATACAATAGCATAAATGCAATACAAAGTAAACACGCCCGCAAAAGTGATTACACCACGCATGGGGGAAGTCCAATCCAATATTGGGTAGACATAATGATTTCCATATCTAAAAGAGAAAAGGAGAGAGAAAAATACAAAATAAAAAAGATCTTAAATTTAAAAAAAGAAATTTTTTACTTACTCGTCCACACCGCCGCACAAAAAATAAACGATTGTAAAGCTAAAATAAATGATAGGCAACAGCATGGCATAGACGGTGTGTAATACACGCACTGGAAATCCCACCATCAGGAAATCGACTAGCATAAAAACCGAATTCAGGCAGTGGGTCACAAAACTCAACACAGGAAATCGCATCGGTTTATCTATGAACATATAAAAAAACCAGAAATGGATGAACGCAAATCTTTTTCCAAGGTAAACTTGCACGTACTTACTCATTTTACCATGCAAAATAGACCAATAGACGGTTGTAATGACCAATGATACTGACATAGTGACGCCGTGTAAGAGCCAATACACTTTCACCAAAGGCGTCGTAGGAGAACCTTGCGTACCCATTTCACATATGTTGGAACGCAATGAATTTATATTAAACTGCCAACGCGTAACCAATACAGCAGCGACAAATTGTGTCAAAAGACCAAGGATGACACCCCAATTTGTCATAAAGATGAAATACTTGCCATCAGAATATTGCAGGGATAAACAAACTAAAAATACGGCGGCAAAGCACAACATCCAAATCCAACGATAAATCAAGTAGAACCAACTGCGCTCACCGCTTTGCCACTGTTCATAAAAAATTATAACGTGAAAAAAAAGTAACAGCAATTAATTGTGGTCGATCTCTTTACATCTACTATATGGTTTTTCTGAAGAACTTCCGAAAGTATGCTCTAAAGATGTATTAATCGATACTAATTATCCGCACCCCGGAATAGGCAGACTGACAGAGCTGTAATTTTAAATCAGTTACGTAAATAGAACCGTTTTTTCATCGGTAAAAAATAAAATTATTCGCATTCACAGGATCAGTATCAGGCTAAAAAGTCAGTCAGTTGTAATGCCATTCGAACCAATACAGCGCGGAGCTACCGGCGCGACAGTTTTGCTTGTTCGTTATCTTCTAGAAGCATTTGTGCACCCAATAAAAGAATGCATGGAAAATGCATTTGAAAATCTCCTGACTTTTACTTTTCAAATATAATTACATTAACGATTGTATGAGGACAATTTAAAAATGTTGCGGGATTTAAGATGATGCCTTGGCAAGCAACTTATACTTCATACTTTTCTTACAATAAAAACACATACTCTATCATGGCATGCATGCAACAATAAAAATAACGAAAGCAGTTGGACCATAAAATTGAAACGGTTTTCATTGATGGAATATAAATGAAAATTCTCAAATACGCTCAAAAGGTTTTAAGTTTGCAAAACCGAGCTACCGTACCTTCGAAAACATCGCACTTACGTATTGAGAATTTGGATTAAAACAATGAAAACAAGGATTAAATTGCTCCCAGTATGGGCTATGCCAATTTTTCGGAAAATTTCATTTTACAATCCTAAGAAATTTTTTCTCTTCTTTCTTCTTCTACAAGTTCCTAGTGCGTCATTCCAGGCTAATGTTATGTGTGACGATTTCTAACTTCTCCGATGTGCCAACACATATGTGAAGAAATTATTTATCTTTTAAAAGCGTCTCAAATAACAATATATTAGCGTAGCTTCATTAATACGAGCGTTGGGATGAGGTTTTTATAGTCGATTATGCATTCGGTTACAGAATCATACATTTCCTTGCTGCTTTCCTTGCCATTTCAAAGCATGGAAAGTGTAAGATGAATATAATCTTGGAGGATATACCATGAGGAATAATATTTCAACGTGAAAGGGCATTTTTATGGTTCTGAGAGATTCCAATTTAATGCAGAAAATAGTATCAAATTTTTTGTATTAAAAAACATATTTATAATACATTCAAAAATTTTAAAGTGGCTTTTTCTTTTTACTAGAGTTTTTTACAATAGACATAAATTCAAGAATTAAAATCTTAAAGCTCTAGAATCGAATGCTATCGGCTTTATTGAAAACTCTACCACAAAAATTTTTAAAAGAACAGTCAGTTTATAATAATGGGTATGAAAGGGCTACGCGGGTTTTTGGTCTTGTTTTGAGCTTCCTTTTGTAGCCTGCTCTTTTCAAATGATTCCAAACTGTTATGTGGTTGATGTTTAATGTCTCTCCGCTATTTCCTAATAGTTTTCGCGACGGTCTTGTTCGACCAGGTGCAAAGTTTCATCGACTTTTTCAGTGACTAAGCGACCAGAGCGCGGTGTATCTTTGACATCGAAATTTCCAGAACAAAATCAACCAAACCTCTCCGGGGTCCTTCGTTCACTCTCAGCATTCTCACTGCACATTTCATAAACTTTTTTTTTACAGCGATTTTACTTTTTTTATAATAAAACAGCATCACAGAGTGGTATTTCACTCATTTCAAATTAATATAACTTTTTATACGAACAAAGAATTAGAAAATTATCTTCACAAAAAACGTAAGCTGAAATGTTCTTACATTTCCCCGTTTTAAGCACAGGTTCGTTTGAGACAATTAGGTGAGTATTGCCCAATATATATGCATCAACCACATCCAGTGCCAAAAAACCGCGGAGACCTTATATGTCACCCAAATTTTTGCAAAATGTATGCTTTTCCACGGAATTTTTGCATTATTTTAAAGCGAGTTATAATGCAAACAGAATGTGAATAGAAGAAAATCCGATACACGTACCTCCGACGTCGCGTTCATTTTGCATCGATAATTTTCGTATTTTTTTTATCCTTTGTTTCTAAAAAACTTTCTATATCGGGCTATCATCTAATAAGTCAAATAGAGAACTTGAATTTGAACTTGGTGCAAAAACGTGTCGCATGATAAGGGTCTATATGGCAGAATCATTTAAGGGGGCAGACCATTGTAACACCCTAAGAGAGAGGTTTGGTAATTTTTTTTAACGAGAAGGACAGGTAGCAGAATTATATTATTTGAGTTAGTACTCATACCGTTTAACATTAGAAAAACAAATTATTTTTGAAAGATATTAAAAAATGGCAACACCTAAGCCATTTTTTGAAGACATCATTAGCTTAAGGGGGTCTGCGGCAAGCATCATAAACGTATGTACGTTCCAATATCTTTTGAATATATTGATTTTTGTGTAATTGGCGAAGAGTGCGACTTCCAAAGCTTGCAAAAAACGGCACACCTTTCTTAATAAACAAGGAAGAAAGTTATATTCGGCGGGAACCGAACCTTGCATACCCACCACAGTACTTTTCTACTCTCCAAATTCTTTTATTTGATACCCATATCGCTGATATTATTAAGTAAAAATTAATCGCAGTATATACAATATTCATTTTAAAACTAACCCCATTTTTAATCAGATAATATACTTATTTGATGAGCGTACAAAGTGGTTTTAAACGTTCCGTCTTCTTTGCCTTATGATAAATAAGGATAAAACCTCAAAAAAGTGAAAAAATTAAACTTCATTATTCGCAAATTTATGAGGCCATGGCCAATAGTTGTATTTTTCGACCTAAACAGTAGAGTGTTTCGTAACATAAATGTGGAAAATTTCAGCGTTCTAGCTTCAATAATTTCCGAGTAACGAACGCAAAATCCAAAAAATTTTGTTAGAATAAACTGAGCTGCATTCAGTTTGCTTTCCACTGCGCGCTTCTGCTCCGACTAATTTGGCCCAAATTCAATATTTAGATTTTTCGATATCTTCATTTTTGCGACCAGGAGAGTGCCAAAAACACACGCCATACAGCTGTGTTAAATCAGCTCAGAATTTCACGCTGATCAAAAATATATGTGCCTTATAGGGTCTCTGAAGCTTCCTTTTGGGCGTTACATACATTATGAAAAAAGGCAAAATAGGTATACTCCCATCTTACAGTGGTAGATATAAAAAGGTTCAAATTAACTTATCGAAAAAATTCACCGGATGTTGCTTCGCAAATACAGTGAAAAGTTCGAATGAAATAAGTGAAAATTATTTGAATTATGCTACTTCTCGATTTTTAAAAGCATGTTTCGAAACAAAGGCGTTTAAAGTTTTGCCATTTCTGCTACACATTTTTTTTTATCATAATAAGTCTTTTATTATTAATCAGCAGTGTGCGATCCCAGGGCTATAACATTTCCTTTCCAAGTTTAAAAAATTTTCCCCTTTTTTTTCTCGAAGATTTTATGCTACAACCTGCCTATTTTGTGGCATCCATCAAAGACGGCACAGCTTTCCTGATCCGATTAGCGGCGTCTTCAATGCAAATGACAGAGAAAACGACACAACATACTTCTTATTCTGTAGCCGAAATCGTAATTGACATCAAAGTCTCCGCCACATGCATTTAATTTATAGCAGAAGCACTATGCCCTGCCCAATCGCTTTAAGCCTCTTATCAATTCAACGGTCTTTTGAATTATGCGTTACTTAGATGCCTTGTTAAATGTGCTGTTGTTGCACTTTTCCTGCCCCGGTACGTTCTCGACCCACTCGTTGTACTTTTTAAGTCTTACGACATTGCACACAATTTGTTAAAAGCTCACACTACAGCGCAACAGCTCAGTGAACGTATTTTTTTGCTCGGAATGGCTTTTAAATCAATATGAATACTTTTTGAACTCTCCTGCTATTCTATGAACGAACTAACAACCAACAGGTAAGACATTGCCAATCTATACCGGCAGAGATTTATTTGAAACAGACACTCATTTTTTGGAGTGCTTACAGAAAACCGAAAAGCGAATTTTCAACAAAAAATCAAATTTTCTCCACGTATTTTAAAAACCCGAAAACTTCTATTGAACAAAAAAAACGATTTCTGGAAAAATATGCAGCGTTCTATCCCCTTTAACTTAGCAATAATTTAACCAATGCAGAAGAAAGAAAATCTGACTACTGTGTTAAATTCAATTATGGGCTTTTTATTAAACGTGGACAAGCGAGTTGACTAACCATCGCTCCTAAATCAAAATTTTATATTGTCATGGTGAATAGCATCATCTTTATATCTCTTACAAATTTAGGCAATTTAGAGCAATGTTTTACGATATTTGTGTTTTTTCTCGTTGAATTTAGCCTTGTGTGCAAATTGAATTCATGGAACTAAACTATGATAACAAACGTCAGGCTTTGTTTATTTGCCCCAATTTTTACGATTATGAGAATTTCATAAACAGGCGTCCGGCAAATGGCGGGGATTTTTACGTTCATTAAGGATGCATTTGTATTCTGGGGCGTCTATTCCATATTTGCGGAACTTACACTATGACGTAAATTGTGAGATTAACTTTTCGCACCTTCACCTATGAGTGCAAGACTATGCATAGATACACTTTGAGAAAAATAAGTTTTAGAGAGATAGGTACTTAAAAATGGTGCCATAGTCTTAAAAAAAAGTAATTTACCGAAAGAGAGACATTCATTCGTTCAATGGATAAACATTTCGGAGCCTAAGATTAATTTGACAACCCTCAATGAAATTAAATAATGATTCTTTGGATTCACAAAAGTCGTCATTACATACGAAATTTCATGCCGTTTACATACTAAGAATATTTTCTACCTCTTAATTGACTTTTACCGCGTTAGCTGAAAATGCAATGCATTTTCGTATGAAAACACAACTACAAGTAATACACAGCGATATCTAGCAAAGCGGATTGGATATGTAGAAGTCTACCAAAAAATTAGGGCAAGAATTGT